TTTACGATCAGTTTCTTGTTGGATTTGTGTAACATTATGCCTAATTTCAAGTTCCCAGACCAAGGGGCCCCATGTGATATCACTTCAACCTCAAATTCAACACGGCTTTTGACTGGTCTCTCAGAATACACCACACCCTTTGCATAAAATTCCTCAGGATTAAGTTTCTTTGCCTCTGTCCCATTATCTGCTATACACATTTGATCAGAGTGATAGTCCCTTATAAAATATTAAACAATATCTGTGCTGAATGGAGACTTACTTATGATATCCAAAACAGACCAGAGGTGGCAACTCATATTTTTCGCTTGAATTTTCTTTCTTGGAAGACATTTTTAAGTAACTACAATTTATCCTTCCTAGTATCCTACAAGCAAAAATTACTATATAAAAAGGGTAGAAGTATACATTGATTCTAGCAAGAGTAGATGCTACTCTTGATTCTAACACTTCAAAACTTTCTATATGACATGGCCAAACACATAACTGACCAAAGCAGACAGGTACTTTAATTTTTTATGCAGTTACATATCAATTTTTTAGTAATAGTAGTAGTACTCTAAGCACTTTTGATCTTGTCTTATTGGCATGTAGCTTTACTTGATGTGACATGTCACCCTCTTTTTGAGTAAAGTTATACATTTGTAGGTTTACATTTGACAAAACTGTCAAAAGTGCACTGGCAATCTGACTTTTTGATGCAAAAAGCTTTGAAGTTTACACAAAATTGGCCAAATTTAAATATTGCACTCATCTGCATTGCATTTTGTGGCAAATGTAAACCAGGCTTTGGTTTTAGTGTCTTTCTTTGTTTGCTTAAATCATACTTGTATTTTTGGTATTTCATTGCATCCAGGCCTACTTGTCAGGCCTTTTATGCAAATCAAACTTAATTGTCACCTTTTTGTATGGGTCCATTTTAAAAATCTTTTTATGATCAAAACAATGCCCTTGCACCCTCAATATTAGCATTTACTTAGGCCCTTGTCTATACTAATCCGTTTTCACACGTAAATGATAACTTTTTAATTCTAATATAGCTTATGTTCACACTAAAGCAGGCTGTATAGAAACAAAAGGGAGCATGCATTCAATGAGTCGGATTAGAAAAATTCTATTCTGCTGCATTGATGCATACTCCATTTATACAGCACTTCCGGTCGTGATGCTAGCATACACGTCATATTCAGAACCCAGCTTTAGCATAAACACCTGAAATGAATAATAGCAAAAAACAATCTTGATTTAGTGAAGTAGATTTTAAAATGGGGCCTTTGTATAATAATAATAATATAAAAAGGACTCAATGAACTGACAGAATACATAAATGCCATACAAACAGTCTACCTGTGTCAGTTTACACGAGTTTCAACTTTCAAGCGACCAGAGCGGACCAGAGTCTTTACAGGTCAGGGTTTTGTCCTCGGTTTTGTCAAGGCTGTAGGCTGGGGGATGGTCGAGACTAGAGATTTTTAGGCAACAAATGAGCCGTGCCCAACGAAGTAGATCTATGGAGATCTAATTAAAATAGTAAAAACCTCGAACTCATGACTGCTGAAAACTGATAGTGGAGCATAAGTAGCTAGCAAGCACAATAGTAGGAATAATAGGGGGGTAGTAGGGGCTTGACATGGGTGGAGTTGAGGTTAAAGGTTTTATTTTATTGAGCTGCTGCTGCAGAAGTACATTTACAAGGCAGTGTATATTGAAAAAAAAAAGATTTAGGACGGCTACAAAAATCAAGAGTGAAAGCAAGAAATGAGAAGGATGGATAAGAAAGGGAATAGAAGAGACTGAGAGAAATTACAAATAAAGAATGGAAGAGAAGAGTTGAAATAGATCTGAGTAGAAAACAAGTTACAGTTATAATAGGTAAAGCAATAAAACGTATGCTACACTCAATAGTACACTAAAAACATTACATGATACTTTAAAAGGAAGCAGTACAAGAGAAGAGTAGTAGTGAAGAGAAAGGCAGAACAAATAAAAAAGTTTGGAAGAGAATTTGGAAAAAGTAAAACTATACTAAAGGCAACAAAAGGCAGCAGAGTAATTAAAATAAAAGGTAAATTAAATTACAATAATAAATCAGATCTTTATTGCTTTCAATGACTCTATTACTTGGGCCATAGTAGGACGAGCTCTAGCATTAAGTCCTCTTTGTACGAGAGACTTCATGGGAGGCCAAGAGATAGTACCAGCTTGTTGTTCTCCCTTTGCTAGCGTCATTC